TGTCGAGAAGTGCTATGACTGATCAACAAAAGAAAGATAATAAGAATCGTCACAAGGAAAGAACTATACTGCTAAATGTTATCTCTTATACTGAGTATAAAAGATAACAAACAGAGATAGTGCCAAGTCCATTTTTGATTCTCTAAGAATGACTCATGAAGGAAACACTTAAGTTAAGGAGACAAAGGCGCTTGCCCTAATACAAAAATATGAGACATTCAAAATGGAGGATGATGAAATAGTTGAAACTATGTTTTCAAGGTTTCAAATGCTAGTCGCAGGTCTCAAGGTTCTGGACAAAGGATACTCAATTGATGACCATTTCAAAAAGATCATCAGAAGCCTTCCTAAAAAGGGGAGACCAATGGTAATTGACTTGGAAATATCTAAAGATACGAACAATATCAGACTTGAAGAACTTGTTAGTTCTTTAAGAAGTCATGAGATAAAGCTTGAGGGAGATGAACCTCAAAGGAAAGGAAATTCAGTTACTTTGAAATCCAACTTTGAAAAGTCAAGAGCTTATCAAGATGAGGAAATCTCAGAAGATTCTGACGAAGCCTCAAAAGATGATGAACTTTCATTAATTTTTAGAAGGGTCAATAGACTCTAGAAGAACAGAAAAAATGGCCAAGGAAAGTTCAAAGGATTTAGAAGGACTGTCGGTCGTTCTGATTCAACATCTGGACAAAAAAAGTCGAGTTTTAGAAAAGAAGTTATTTGCTATGAATACAAAGAGACAAGTCATTACAAGAATGAATGTCCCATGCTCAAGAAAGACAGAAAGCATAAAAAGAATTCTATCAAAGGCAAGGAAGGACTCATGGCTACCTGGGAGGACTCTGATTTAGAAGAAGAAGATTCTGAAGAAGAACAAGCTAATGTTGCATTGATGGCAACAACCTCTGATGCTAAAGTCTTTGGAGAACCCGAAGACAAAGTATCATCAAACTCAGAAGCAGAATCTGATCATGATTCTGAAGAGATATTTTCTAATATCTCTTGTTCTGATTTAGAATCATGTCTTTCTGAAATACTGGAGAAGTATAAAAGTCTTCAAAGCAAATACAAAGACCTTAAACAAGTCCAAGTAATTGCTTCTGAAACTCGTGAGAAACATGAAGAGAACATTTCTTCTTTAAATGAAAAAATATTTTCTTTAGAAAGTACAAACTCTACATTGAGAAGTCAAATCTCAAAATTAGAAGAAGAAATAAGTCCAGATGCTTCCGGTACCAACAATGTATTTAGATATGACATAGCTTTTCAGCACTTGCTGACTAAAACCTAAATCTTATCAGTAATGGTAAACTTCCCTCTATTAATAATATTCTTTGGTCGATGGTTTGATACATAACTTATTGTCTGTCAGTCAGCTTGGTGACAATGGTTATGATATTATCTTTAATCAAAAGTCTTGTAAGGCTGCTAGTCAGAAAGATGGCTGAATCCTTTTTACCAGAAAGAGGAAAAAAAACATTTATAAGATTAGAATTTTTGATCTCATTGAACAAAATATCAAATGATTAATGTCTGTTAATGAAGAGAAATGGGTATGACATAGACGTATGGGCCATGTTAGCATGAGGAGAATTTCTTAGCTAAATAAGCTTGAAATGGTCAGAGGCTTACCAAACCTGAAGTTTGCTTCAGATGCTTTTTGTGAACCCTGTCAGAAAGGCAAGTTCTCTAAAACTTACTTCAAAGAAAAAAGTGTTGTTTCCACCTCTAGACCGTTAGAACTTCTACACATTGATTTGTTTGGACCAGTGAAAACTGCTTCAATAAGTGGAAAGAAGTATGAATTAGTTATCGTTGATGACTATAGTCGTTGGATATGGGTAAAGTTCTTGAAACACAAGGATGAGTCGCATTATGTGTTCTCTACCTTTTTCTCTCAAGTGCAAATAGAGAAGAATTAAAAAATAGTCAAAGTCAGAAGTGATCATGGCGGAGAATTTGAGAACAGATACTTTGGGGATCTATTTGATTTTCATGGAATTTCCTGTGATTTCTCCTGTCCTAGAACTCCACAATAAAATGGAGTTGTAGAAAGGAAAAATAGGACTTTGTAAGAAATTACTCGTACCATGATCCAAGAAACTGATATGGCTAAGCATTTCTCGACAGAGGTAGTAAATGCAACATGTTACATTCAAAACAGGGTTTCTGTTAGACCTATTTTGGGTAAGACTCCTTATAAATTGTGGAAGAACATAAAGCCTAACATATTTTATTTTCTTCCGTTTGGTTGTACATGTTTTATGTTAAACACTAAGGAGAATCTTTGCAAGTTTGATTCTAAGGCTCAAAAGTGTTTGTTGTTAGGATATTCTGAACGCTCAAAAGGCTACATAATCTATAACACAGAAACACGAATTATTGAATAATCAATTCATGTTAGATTCGACGATAAGCTTGACCGTGAAAATCAAAGCTAGTTGAGAAACTTGCAGATTTAGAAATCACCTTCTCAGAACCTAAGGATAAAGACTCTGGAGATAAAGACACAACTGCTGAAACTAAAGACTCAGAAACAACTCAATCATAAACTGTTGTTGGTCCATCTCATCAGAAGAAAAGTAGACCAAGAACTTCTGATTCTGAAGAATTGATTTTGGGAGATAAAGACGCACCAGTCAGAACCAGATCATCATTCAAACCTTCTGAAGAAACTCTTCTTGGCTTAGTCTCTCTCATCGTACCAACCTCTATAGATGAAGCTCTTCAAGAAAACGACTAGATTCTGGCTATGGAAAAAGAACTAAATCAATTCACCAAAAATGATGTTTGGGATCTTGTTCAGAAACCAAAAGGTGTCCACATCGTTGGAATCATATGGGTATTCAGAAACAAGCTCAATGAAAAAGGTGAGGTCATAAGAAACAAAGCACGACTGGTAGCACAAGGTTATAGTCAGCAAGAAGGAATCAACTATATAGAAACCTTTTCACTAGTTTCCAAGTTAGAATCTATTTGTCTCTTAGTCTCTTTTGCTGTAAATCATGACATCACTTTATATCAGATGGATATAAATAGTGTATTCTTAAATAGGTATATTTCTGAAGAAGTGTATGTGCATTAACCTCCTGGTTTTGAAAGTTCTAAAAACTAAGATTTCGTTTTCAAACTTAAGAAATCGTTATACGGTCTGAAACAAGCTCCCAGAGCTTGGTATGAACGACTAAGTAACTTTCTTTTGGAAAATAACTTTACCAGAGGAAAAGTGGATACAAAACTCTTTTGCAAAACCTATAAAAATGACATTCTGGTTGTGCAAATTTACGTTGATGATATTATATATGGTTCTGCTATTACTTCCTTATGCAAGGAATTTTCTAAGTTAATATAGGCTGAATTTGAAATGAGTTTGATGGGAGAACTAAAGTTCTTTCTGGGCACTCAAATTGATCAACAAACTGAAGGAACATATATTCATCAAAGAAAATATACCAAGGAACTTCTAAAGAAGTTTAACATGTCAGAATGCAAGCCAGCAAAAACTCCAATGCATCCTACATGTATTATGGAGAAAGAAGAGGTAAGTGGTAAGGTAGAACAGAAGCTATTCAGAGGTATGATTGAATATCTCCTGTATCTGACTGCTTCTAGACCAGACATCCTCTTCAGCGTGTGCTTATGTGCTCATTTCTAATCAGATCCTAGAGAAATGCACTTAACAGCTGTTAAGAGAATCTTTAAGTATTTGAAAGGTACTTTTAACCTTGGGAAATTCTATAGAAAATCATCTAAGTACAAACTGGTAGGCTATTGTGATGCTGACTATGCAGAAAGAAAAAGTACTTCTGGAAGTTGTCAATTTCATAGAGACAGTCGGATCTCATGATCCAGCAAAAGACATCCCACAATTACTTTATCAACTGCTGAAACTGAATATATTGTAGCTTTCAGATGTAGCACACAAATTCTTTGGATGAAAATTCAATTAGAAGATTATCAAATTTCTGAGAGTAACATTCTTATCTTCTGTGATAATACTTCTGCTATTTGTCTATCCAAGAATCCAATTATGCATTATATGGCTAAACATATTGAAATAAAACATCACTTTTTATGCGACTATGTTTAGAAGGACATTTTTCTTTTAAAATTTGTAGATACAGACCACCAGCGGGCTGATGTTTTCACAAAACCCCTTTCTAAAGATAGATTTGTATTCATTCTGAAAATCACTAGTGGAAAAAAGACTTTTTAAGTCAGTAAAAAATAACTTTTTAATTCGGGTCTGAGCCCGACCTAAGAATAATCGACATAAGAAGTTTTGACTTCTTAAGTCGGTTGTGGACCTGACTTAACAAACTATTATTAGGTCGGTTAGGCAGAACCCGACTTAATAAGTATAGCCTGCAGAAACCATTTATACCCGACCTAAGAACTTACTTTCTTAAATCGGGTATAACTAACCGACCTAAAAAGTTATTTTTTTTGGATAATCACACAAATCAAATGCAGTTTTCCTATTTAACAATTTATCCCCAAATCAGACTACCCAACTCAATCAACAAATTACACCCAAAATTATCAGAAAATTAACTCTTCTTTTCATTATCACAAAATTATGTAGAACCAAGTATATTAACACAAGTATATATCAGAAAATTATCACAATGCATGTTAATTCTAAAGCACCAAGTATATTAACACAATGCATGTTAATTCTAAAGCACCAAGTATATTAACACAATGCATGTTAATTCTAAAGCATCAAGTATATATCATAAAATTATCACAAAATTATTAGAAAACAGCAGTAAAACTAACTCTTCTTTTCATTATCACAAAATTATGTAGAACCATATTAATATGGCACTAACATCCAAAGGCAGATAGCATCTAATAACTCAATATTAAGAAGATATAAAGCCATTAATACTGATGTAACTTGTTTCTACTGTGAAACCTACAACTTGTTCCAAAGATTAGCCTAATACAAGTATAGACACCAATTCTAACAGATAGTGAGGGAAAGCCAAATACAATCACATAAATATAGAAGCAGCTGCACTTTTTGCCTTAGTTAAATCAGGTACCAACGATCCGGATTGAGAAAGTTCTATAGCTGCCATGCTTAAAGCAAAAAAGACCTGCAAATCCTGAAGCAGGAAATAATTCAATGCTAGAAAAATTAATTCTTATAATACCGATTTAGGAGAGTAACTTACACGGAAAACATCTGAGAATGAAGATTTTCCATCCTCAATGAGACGCGCTCCAGCATAAAAACTGCATGCATAAACTGCATACAACACGAGGAATGATACTCCGAAACCAAATTCGCTTACTATCCCTCGCCTTATGCCTGTCTTAATCGGTCCTTCGCATTTTTGCTTATACAATTCCATCACCTTCTCTTCAGAACAGAAAGAAGCAACTGTTCTTATACTCCCTACTGCATCGTTCGCCACTTGACTTGCTTCCTCATTCAATTTCTGTTCAAAGAAAACAATATCAGTATTCACAATTTCACAACATAAAGCTAAATCAAAATTGCTTCTAGAGATCATGCTTGTATTGTAACACAAATTGGAAAGATCAGAAAGAAAGAAATTGAATCACGTACGCACGAGCAACAACGGAAACAATGCATAATTCATAACACTCAATTGATTATGTGCTTATTTGATTCTGCATAATGCATAATTCTCCACTGAAGCAGAGATAATGCATAATGCATAATTCTCCACTGAAGCAGAGATAGTTGCTGGAGCTGCAGGCTCAGTAAACTGTGTTATAGTGGACTTTGATTCTGTGCTTATTTGAGCAGCCGCACTAGAGTCTACCTCCATAGCAGAATATGCAATGCAACACCCAACTTTATTTTACATTCTGACATTCAAATTCATAGTAATGATGGTTATTTGAGTTGCCAATAAATATATCTACAAAGGAACATCAAATGGGTAATCTTTGGGATGCTTCTCAATGGTTTTTCTAAGTACTCTTTCTTGCTCCTCAAGGTTTGATGAAAGTTTGTCATAAACATCAGTAAACATGTCCTCAAGTGGAGGTTTTTGTGCTTTCTCTGCCACTTGAATTGCATGCATTAACTGTAATATCAAAACTCAACATGTTACTGCAGAATACCAAAAAATATATATGGACTATCAAGTCACTAACTAAAATTTCAATAACTAAACAAATAGAACTCACTTGCTTCCTAACACTGCTTCTAAGCTCCAATTCATCCTTTTCACTCCATCAACCACTCCTTTCAACCCATCTTTTGAATCGATTCACGGGATTTCTTTCCATCTTCCAGTATTCAATTTCACCGGTTGATCGGTACTTAGTTGAATCGTCAAATGTAGAGTGGTGCCCTACTCTATAAGTAAGAGCCTGAACACCATTCATTCAACATTAGATTAATAATGATAATCTCATCTTGGCGTGAAATGAAATTCAAAGATCAATCATATATACCTCAATTAAAACCGGTCTTTGTTCTTTTATAGCTATTTCGCGCACAGTATGAACTGCGCTATAAACAGCAAGATCATCGTTTCCATCTACTCTGATACTCCATATGCCATAAGCTTGACCTTTCACCACAATACCATCACCTAACCAAACACCAAAATTAATCACATAGACTTGAGAATGATATAGAGCTTGTTTGAAAAAAACAACTTAAGTAGGAAGAATTTGTATAGAGTACTTCGAAATTATTCTTCGACAGGGGTACTGATGGCCCATTCGTTGTTACGACATATGAAAACAACTGGTGCCTCCATTACTGCTGCAAAGTTCATAGCAGCAATCTCCCTACAATCTTTCAAATATCATCTAGAAGCATAGTGATTTGATATTCTATAATTTCTTGGCTCGTATTCATCATTACTAACCTCACTAGTACTCCCATCCCCGCAAAAAGTGACTGCACAAGCACTTTTTCCGTCCATTTTAAGCGAATAAGCAGCGCCTACAACTTGAGGAAGTTGTGTCCTGAATTTCTTGCCAAACAACATGAACTTATTCAGAATAAATGTCTGAAATTAACAGTTGCAATTATTTTAACATGTTTGTTACAGTACAGTATATATGTCTTACGCAATAGGCGACGAGACTGTGAAGTAATTATGTTTGTTAGAGCCGTAGTGTATCGGCATTTGTCTTCCTTTACCAAAATCATTTGTGTTTCCGAAGTATTGATGAGCGAATTGTTGCAGAGTGAAACCACACCATAACAGAACTCCAGGCTCTCGGTACTAGCAGAAAATGTGATATAGCGAAATAAAAAACGGAATTGAATTTGAAAAGAATCACGAGGGAATTTCAATGCCTTGGGGAAGAAGCAAACCTGAGGCAAGATAACATCATCAGAAGAAAGCGCAGCTGCTGATGCAATGTTAACAACTTCTTCTCCTGATGTAGTGAGGTAGAAGGAAATTCTTCCTTGCCTCTACAGCTCATAGAATATGCTATCCATGGTTTGAAGAGTGACCATCTCAGAATGTATTCTCACAGTCAATTCTTTGCTAACCTGTTGAAATGTGGTCCAGAAGTTTCTTCAACAAAATTCTAAGAAGCTCAGATACATATTACAACACGACATGGATACTGATACAGAGATATGATTATGATATGACATACCTGAACATGATTGGTCTGTTTCACGGGCTCGCCATCGGCGTCAAGGACACGATAGCAAGGGAACCTTGTGTGAGAAGTATATGAAATAAATCTCATTTCAGAAGTGAATCCAACTTTTCCTCCAGGAAAATCACACCACTCAATTGATTACCGAGAGACATCCACCTGATGGAATTGAGAAAATATTATAACAAGACCAATGCTTTAAAAAAGCATAAAAGAAAAGTGTTACCAAGAATCATAGAATCATAGGTCAGACGAAATATCTTTCAAACTTAAAGGCTTAACTACCTTAACGAGTACCACAAGTAGTCACTTCTATCAGCCGTGGTATTTATTTGCTCGAGTAATCCAGTTTTTGACAATGAATCATCCTTCGAAATACCAACAGGTTCGCTTGTCCAACTCCATTTTGAACTAGAATTTTCTAAAGATCCAATGTCTTCTTTCGAAGATTCGGTTACGAAGCTTGAAATTGCAGATGCATAATTAATCTGCCATAAAAATGTTGTTGTTATTATGAATATCATCATTATGCAAGCAACTTAGCACAAATGAAGGGAGGACAAACCTTTGCAGTGTTAAACACTACATTCTTGCAATCAGGTAAGATAGTATTTGCACAAACACACACGCATTCAAAATGCTAAATACCACACCCATCAAAATTTTGAGGATCTTGCACGTTTGATACTGTTTTCTCTTTATCTGTCTGTATATTGAATCAATGTAAACACTATCCAGTATTTCCATTAACATGATTCCACCGCTGGGAGAACTGTGCCATATGCAACAGTAGCTAAATCTGCAAGTCCTGCACCATCAATAGTTAACAGCAAAAAGCATCAGAACAATAAAAGTTCCAAAGTGAATAATATAAATAATAACCCGTTACAATTACATGATAGCCAATCAAATTACACAATAAATATAAAAATAAATAATACCCCGCCCCAATCCGGGTTTTTTAGAGCCTGTTAAATTTACTCGTTTGAATTTATTTCCGAACATAAACATTTGTACTACACTAAAGATTATAAAAACAATTTGTGACATGTCCGTAAATTGTTTTTTTTTATAAATTTCCATAAACCCTTCTGGATTATTTATGAGAATGGCCTCTAACTTATATGAAAACCATATGACTTTATTTTATATGTTGTTATAGAAATAACTTATACATATACGGTTATGCTACAAAAGTCTTTTATTCGAACAAGAGGTGAGCCCAATAGCATCATGTCACTACAGTTTTAGCAAAGACATTCGTCTAGCAGGAAGTTAAGTCCTCAATATTTACATTGGATATCTTTCTTCTTTTCTTTTAATTTTCTGAGAAGGTATGAGAGGGGAGGGATTGAACCACATTGACAGAAACAACAAAACAATAAGAAATACAAACACTTTGAATAATTTTATATGCGGGGTTATGGGACAGGAGAGTTGATACAGGAATAGTTTTATAAACGGTTACGGGACGGGAGAGTATGATTGTGTGTTTGAGAGAGATATCTTGGTGTGGAGATGTGATTCTGCAGTGTATGGATCATTCCTTTTCTTCTCTAATCATTCAATAAGTCATACCTATTAAATGGCCTGTCTGTGCCTGGAAGTATAGGTTCTCGCGCCAACACTAAAAATCGAGTGACATTATCACTATCATCCTGCCAATGTAAATCCATCAGGCATCAAATTTAAGATAACCACAAATTGTCTACCATGTCATTTAAAACAGAGCAACACAAAGACTCAAACCTGGATGTCTTGAGCAAGTATATTTAAGCCATAGATCTCTGCGGCAGCTAAGCTAGCAACAACTCCTGCATCTTGTAGTTTATGGAAAACAACATGCTATAATTCGTAACTGTGTTAGGATAACTAATATTGATAATCATGTCAACAACAGCAGCAGAAAATGATAATCTATCCATCCTTCACCCAAGGTGCAATATACAATCATTAACTGATATTTAGTGGATGACTTTTTCATTACTTGATTCCTTAACCAGTACCCTAAGGACATTTGTTAACCAGGTTTTTTAAAATCAAAACAAATTGTGAGCTATCTAGTGCTTCATTTCTAAGCAAGTCAAATGTACATAAATGTGACCATTAATAAACAGAAATACTTGAAATGATACAAGAAAAATAGCTTCCAACAATTCCACAATTACCTTTGCAGCACCGACTGTATCATCAACTGCTTCTCTGACTAAGCCAAATCTTGTCAAGGTGTTCTCACATTGTGCAAGAGCCTAAGACAACACCATCTTCGATGAGTTTATTGTTGGAAGAGAAGAAGGAAAAACGGTATAAAATGTTAGAATCACACCTGAGGGTGACTAAGAACTCGCTTCAAATTCTCAAGTTTAACACCATGGTTGGCCACCAAACAATGATGGACTGCATATTTTACTTCTCCTACTATGTGTAGCCTGTGCCTGAGTAAAAGGTCATAATTCCGGTGGATGCTCCCTCCTAAAGACTTCTCCTACCATGATCGCTCTCATTGAACTAGCAGCAACAACATTACACAGTCTATCAAAAATTTGACGCAACCAAAACAGCACAAATAATGTGAGATTCTAGCATAATGCAGCATTATTTTAGAAGAAAATAGAGTTCATATTGAACCATATTGATTATGAGTTTAACACAAATTTAACTAGCAAACAAACAGATTGTGAAAAGTTTAAAGTAATTGATTCTCAACAAAACAAAACCAACCAAGTGATATTCATTACAGATGCTTACGCAGAGAGTTTCAAAATTTTACCGACACGAACAACTCCGCGAATTGATGTCGTGTAGGGACCAACAACTCTTGTAAGCTTTCGTATTCTGGTTTCGGAGTTATTTTGTACATCGATTACCACCATATAAGGATCATTAGTCAAAGAATTCCATTCCTTCG